CATGGATCCAGTTTGCCCTACCCGTGAGTCTGTTTCCTCGCAGTGTTATGTGTCGCCGCATAACTTCGGCCTCCCCCCATCGCTTTGGAATATTGGATTACCGCTTCATAATACCGGACAACTAAAAGTAGAACATACGATGTTCATCCCGAACTAAGGTCCTCCAACTTGACACAACCACCTTCCTCTCCGAATATTTTTGGAGTCCAGATTGACAAACTTTCGGTCCGCCAACTCAAAAGGCAGCCACCATGAAAAGTCACCAGCCTCTACCCTTATACCCATCCGGGATAAAAATGCGCTTCATCTTCCTTTCCCATGATTCCGAAATGAGTAGATACACACCCCTCCTATTCTTTCCAAACGATTTCCACAGATCTCGGTTGTGGCCTCAAAAACGTTTCGCCCATGGCGTTTTGATGTTGTACCAGTAAAATTCTTCAAATGCCTTCAACAACCAATCAACTTCCACCTTTCCCAGAGATATCGAAGTTCAGAAACCTCTCCCGTTCTTGCAAATTCACAGTCTGTCCATTTTCCTTCCCTTACTTACCAAATCAAAAGTTTTATTCTCAATAACCAAGAATCTTCGATCATTCTGGACTCCCATGTTGATTTCTTTTGTTCGCTTTAACACCCCCACATACCTCGCTAAATAGGTGAGGATTGAAAAGGATTAAAACAGTATGAAGACTGATAGAAAGAAAGGATCTGTTTTGGAAAGTTTAGGCGGAAATGAAGAATAGAGAGAACTTTTTAGAGAGAGAAGTTTTAGAGAGAGAATATATAAAATATCTATTAGCCTTCAAAGTATCTAAGTATCCTTTTTTTTTCTTTTTGATTCCTTGTTCTCTTATGTTTCTTTTGCAAATCCAATCTGTTAGTCTTATTATTACCACTAAAAAATCCTTTAATTTTTTGTTCCCAGTCTCTATAGCTGTCTTTAGGCTCAATTATCAAACAGTTTCTCTTTTCTTTATTTTAACTTCATCTCTTATAGAAAAAAAAATGGTGGTATTCGAAAACCCTAGAGAGAAATTCAGGTCTGCATCAATAGGTTTCTTTCTTTGATGCATCCAACTCAGATCAGGTTCATCGGCAACATGCCGAAATTGCTTTGACAACTGTTCTTTTTCCCTTACTTGGACCGTCTTACTGTCCTTTTTCCTAGCTTGTGGCATGTTTACACTTATAGTCATTCATTGGAGATGATTTTAAATTTTTTTTTTTGTTGAAGACATGGCGATCTTTTACAATTGACGTTGATTTTGCTTGATCTGGTGGTCAGTTCATAATTCTTTGTGTTTGGTTCCACTTTTGGAAGAGTTATCTGCTAAAAGAAACAAAGAGAGAGAGGGATCAGTCTGGAGATGTCTTGGATTAGTTTGTTTCATTTGTTTTAAGTGCAGCCCTGAGAAGTAATGGTTTGCTTAAAGTCCAGGAATGAGAGGTCAGGTTGTCCAAGATTCATCGTTTCAGTCAGGTGGAATAACGCTGTTTCCAGCCTGAAAATTTTTGGCATGCTTTGGCTATTTAAATTGCAGATCTAAGAGATCTTGTGCTGAGTCTATGTTCTGATTTTTGGGAAATTGGGTTTTTCTGGTAGGAGAGTTATGTTAGTTTACTATGTAAATTTTTATGGACTAGTTTGCGGAAAAGAAAAACAACAGAAGAATTTTGATATCGTGAATGTTTAAAGCTTTTTGAGTGAATGGAAATGAAGAATAAAGATAATTATGCACAAAAGTTCGTTATAAACCTAGAGCTTTTTCTTCAGAAGATGAAAAATAGTTCTCACAAAAGTTTGTTATGAAACCTAGAACTTTTTGCAGGAGGGAGTCAGAACCAGATATTGTCAAGCTCATATTTTTGCTCAGGAGAATGAGAACTAGTTGACCTACAAAAGTTATTTTAAACTTTCATTATTTGGGATAATGAGAATTAGCATTAGAGTTTGCTATTCGATGGGAGTAAAGGCTTGTTGGCTTATTTAAAGAAAAAGAGAAAGATTTTGTGGACATTTATTGAAGTTTGTTGCAAGTTGTTGATGTTAAGGATCATTTTCATGGAAGGTTTACCATTGTCATCAAGGTACAAGTTACCTAGTTATTGGTGACAAGTTGCAAGTTGTTGGTTTAGTTTGTTTGAAGTAGCAGTTGCAAAACCAATCAATCTCATTCCGAGTGGTTTATAACATTAATCGATCTTGTTGCAAGTATTTGTAGGATTCATCAAGCCATAATTTTTTCTAGTTCAAGTTTTCTATTTACGTCAGTTTATTTATAATATGGTTCAACTAATGTAAACTTTACCTTGAGGAGTCTTAAGAGGATAAGATTATACATAGGTTCTCTTCTTAGTTTACAACTCTGATTCATAGGTAATCCTTTTAAGTCCTCATCCATTATTCTTCAACATAACAACAAGAGGAATACCGTAATAACACTTCAGTTTATTCTTCAGGCACAAATAAACCTCTACATTTAAAATCAATCATACGGTCGTTTAAAATATTTAATGAAATTCACAAGAATCATTATATTTGTGAAATGTAAACAAGAGCACAAAGTTTCCTTTCTGCAAATTCTTGAGTTTATTTTTAGATTTCATTAATTTTGATAGGATTTGAAATTCAGCAAACCAATGGAATCCCCTTATTTGAAATAACTACAAATATAAGATTAGTTTTTTAATGAATTCTATAATATTTTAGAATTCACTTGTTCCTGTCATAAGCAACCTTCTAAAGTTTACCGAAAAGAAAAAAAAATTCAGTGATGCACTTACAGTGCAACCAACAAGAATACTGCAGTCTGCATAACAATTGCACCTTCCCCATCCGGCTTTCCTGGGTTCATGCACCTTGCATAAAACCAATGCTCATGAATTGATGTAACCAAATCTGTATTCAAAATTCCATCTACCAAATTTTAAAACCAATGGAAACAAATTACAGTCAACAACAAACAAACAAAAATGAAAAAAGACGTGCATATGATACATTATGATACTTGAACAAAACCTGTCACTTTCCAGAACAATAAAAAGTTTATGCATAAAAGCTAAAGCATTCATATATTGCCAAACCACTATTTGACAATGCATTTGATCCATGCTTGTATTTCCATGTAACTGCCCTATATATTGTGTGGTTGAAATATTAAGGTTTTTCATTTTTAATCTGATTTCTTTTCCGTGATTTTAGCATTCGTGGCTTGACTATCAGTTACTATGATATCATTATTTGGACACATGAACGATCTAGATTTTAAAATTTGACATGTGAACTGTTCACATCATACTATGCACAATTAACAAAAAAAACTAATTTTAAAAAATGTAAGAAAAACTTAAAAATAAAACTAAATTAGATAACAAAACTAAATATTAAAATATTAAAAAAAACCGAAAAGAGAACCTTGCTTGGGCTTCATTAGTTCATCTTCATCATTTCCGATTCTTTCTTTCCCGCTGAAAAACAGTTTTATTTCTATTCCTAGCATTTTGATTTCGAAACATGTCCTCCTTAAACTCTTTTGACACGTGGTGAGCCAAGTTCCCACCAGTTTTTCCTCCTGCGATGGAACACTTCCCGAGCAGTTCCAAAAGGGATGCAATCCTCAAAATATTTGTCAGCAAAATCTAATGCATCAAAGTCATACTGTCGAATACCAAACAAGCAACAAAAGCTTAACGATGCCACAACTCCAAGATCCCTTGCCAGCTGGCAACAACAATTGTCACAGAATGACATATGGGTGAAGATTGTGAATTCACAATGTGAAAAAATAGACAATGACCAAGCAAAGGTCGACCTGGGTGATCAGCACTGGGCTTGAAGAGGTGTACCCAGAGATTATGAGAGGTACCAATGACAGTGACGGAAGAGGAGGCACTGGAGTGAGGAGTCTTTTCGGAACCCTTTTTTTTATGTTCTGAGTTTATTATTTATTTTTAGTTTTGATACCAAATTTCTAAATTTAATTAGTCTTTTTATGATATAATATAGTCTAAACTGTGCTGTCCATGTATAAAATTCTTTAAAATTCAGACTATCTACATGCCGAAAATGACACTGTTCCAGTCAAACATATGTACTGGAGAAATAAAAAATATATATCAAATTTGAAAAGTTTCAAACTACAAGATATCGAACTATACTTTCCCAACATTTTATAATTTGAAACACCCAATATTTTATAATTAACTCACCAAGCAAGAGAATTTTATGATTTTCTCTACGAATTTGAAAGATACCAATAACTACCCTGTTAATTATTCAGGTGGTGCTAACCCTAATTCCAACAACTAAAAATTAAGTGCTATATGGTCCTATATACAGCAAGTCGGTAAGAATATCTAAGTCCTCCTGCCAACAACATCCTTTGTCTTAGAAAAATCTAGGCACAGTCAAATCTACAAAGAGTGGATTAAAAAAATAAAGTGATTGGTCATACAATGTCCAATTTGAAGGGAAGGAAAAATAAGATACACATACATCACTGCCACAATAAAGTTAGTTGACCATACAAAAGTACCTATAAATATGACAAATATATTTACACACACATACACACGTCAATTTACTATTAAATCCATCATTTCTTAACTTTTCAAGAGCGAGAAAGGAAATTACGCATAGATATCACCCAGCATATAAACTTACATCCCTAGAAGCTGAGTCTGTCACATGAAAAGACAGTATTCTCAAAGTTAGGAATTTATAGAGAAAAGAGAGAGATAGATAATAGATAGAC